TATATATCTAATCCAAACTTACTTTCTTCTTTCAGATGTCTTCCAACACTAATGCTTCGGGCTCTAACCCAACTGGTTCTTTCTCTCTCATGAATCTTTGTGGGAGGTCATCTTTAATGGTTCCAACTTCATGGACTGGATAAGGAACATCAGGATGGTAACTCGTTATGAGGACAAGGAATATGTCCTCGATAAGGAGTTAAAAGACTTGACGAGTCTACTGCTACTCCTGAGGAGATCGCTGAATTCAGGACACATGAGAGAGATGTACTAAGGTGGCATGCATCATGATGGCCACGATGACAGCCGAGCTCCAAAAGTCCTATGAGGACTTCTACCCTTTTAGATGCACCAAGACCTGATGGAAAGGTACCATCAGAGTGCTCGTCAAGAGCGGTATGAAATAATCTCCTCCATGATAACAACCCGCATGAAGGACGGTGAATCCGTCACGGCCCACATGCAAAAGATGCAAAGGTATGTGGACCGTTTGCTGAAGCTGAATGTAAACTTCCCTGAGGAGTTGGCAATTGACATCATTTTGCACTCCTTACCTTCTTGTTATGACCATTTTCGTATGACATATCATATGAACAAGGAGGAAGTTACCCTTAGCAAGCTTCAAGGACTCTTGAAGACCGCTGAAACCGGTCTTAAGGGCAAGTCGGTTGTTACCTCTACTACTCCTACTCCTACATCTACCCCTGTTTTGGCTATCGGGCAAGGCAAAGGGAAAAAGAGGAAGCGCCCTTCGAAGGGTACCAAGGGAAAGTCTCTTGAAGGCTCCTCATCAAGGACCAAGAGCGGTTCTACCACTCCTTCTGCCATTCCCAAGGATGCTGACTGCTACTATTGCCAGGACAAGGGGCGCTGGAAGCGAAACTGCGTCAAAATACTTGCAGGATCTGAAGGATGGGAAAGTGAAACCCACCCACGTAGGTATTTACACAATATTGTCTAATAACTCACCATATTCTAACTCTTGGGTGCTTGATACAGGATGTGGTATTCACATATGTTCTGATTTGCAGGGCCTAAGAAGAAGTGAGGATGTGGAGCACGGGAAGATAAACTTGATCATGGGGAATAGGAAGGTTTCAACTGTTTCCAAGATTGGAGTTTATACTTTGTTGCTGAATAATGGGTTAAAATTAGATTTGAATAAATGTGTGTACTCGTCTGAAATGGCGAGGAATATTATTTCCTTTCATGCTTTGTACAAACAAGGTTTTACCTTTTCGTTTGATAATGAATGTGGTGATATTAATGCTTTCGTTAAAAATGTGTTTTATTTTAAAGCATTACCTTGTGATGGTGTGTATGAAACTGTGTCGATTGTAGACAACTTAGGAAATAATGTGTTGTATATTGATTCTTCTACTAGCCTAGATAAGGCATCATTGTGGCATTGTCGTCTTGGACATGTAACAAGAAACGCATAGGCCAACTCCAAAAGAGTGGAGTCTTGGAATCATTCGACCTTAAATCGGATGATAGTTGTGAATCTTGTCTACTTGGAAAGATGACAAAATCACCCTTCTCTGGAACTTGTGAAAGGGGTGAGGGTTTGTTGGACCTAATACATACTGATGTGTGTGGACCATTCAAAACCGCCACAAGGGATGCTAATCGGTATTATGTGACTTTTATTGATGATTTTAGTAGATATGGATATGTCTACTTAATCAAACATAAGTCAGAAACCTTTGAAAGGTTTAAGGAATTCAAACAGGAAGTAGAAAATCAATTGGGCAGGAACATTAAGATGCTTCGATCTGATCGAGGTGGTGAGTATCTTAGTGCCGAGTTCCTTGACTATCTTAAGGAGTGTGGGATTGTCTCACAATTGACTCCTCCCATGACACCACAGCTAAATGGTGTAGCTGAGAGGCGTAATCGAACCTTGTTAGACATGGTTCGCTCCATGATGAGTTGAGTTTCGCTACCAATCTCTTTTTGGGGGTATGCCTTAGAGACTGCCGCCCATATCCTTAATCTAGTCCCTACAAAGAAGGTTACCAAAACACCTCATGAGATGTGGATTGGGAAGGTTCCCAATTTGGATCACATCAAAATTTGGGGTTGCGAAGCTTTCGTGAGGCGTGAAACTCATGATAAGCTTGAACCCCGAAGCGAAAGGCGTATTTTCATCGGCTACCCACAGAAATCCTTCGGTTACCTCTTCTACAGACCCAGTGAGAATGTGGTCTTTGTAGCACGAAGAGGGGTCTTTCGTGAGAGAAATTTATAAGCCAAGGAGACAGTGGGAGGCAAATTGATCTTGAAGAAATTCAAGAATCAATTGGTGAAGGAACCTCAGACACTAGCAATCAACCTGAGGAGGAAACTCCTATTGATCCAGCTGACGAGTTTGTACCTCCGAGGCGTTCCACACGGGTTAGGAACATACATGCATTTTATTATGGCTTTCATATTACTACAGAAGGTGATACGTTTATCAGTGATAGTACACTGGTAAATTTGGATGAACCTAGCAGTGTTAAGGAAGCCATGGTAGGCCCGGAGTCTGCTAAATGGAAGGAGGCTATGGACAACGAGATAGAGTCCATGTATGATAATCAAGTTTGGAACTTGGTTGACCATGTACCAGGCCGTAAAACAGTCGGGTGCAAATGGATCTTCAAGAAGAAGACCGACATGGAAGGAAAAGTGCATACTTATAAGGCTCGACTGGTCACGACGGGTTTTACTCAGACTCAGGGTATTGATTATGATGAAACCTTCTCGCCGGTAGCAAAGATTAAGTCTATTAGGGCTATGATAGCCATTGCTGCATTTCATGATTATGAAATATGGCAAATGGATGTCAAAACCGCTTTTCTTAATGGAAAGTTGGTTGAGGATGTGTACATGAATCAGCCAGAGGGTTTTGTCAGTGCAGAGTACCCTAATAGAGTATGCAAGCTTGAGAAATCCATTTACGGATTAAAACAAGCATCTCGTAGCTGGAATCTTTGCTTCGATGAGAAGGTCAAAGAGTTTGGCTTCTCGAGAAGTGAAGATGAGTCTTGCGTGTATGTTAGAGCTAGTGGGAGTATAGTTAGCTTCTTGGTACTGTATGTGGATGACATACTTCTTATAGGAAATGACATCCCAACCTCGCAGGAGGTTAAGTCCTGGCTTGGGAAGTGCTTTGCTATGAAGGACCTAGGGGAAGCTGCCTATATCCTAGGGATAAGGATATTAAGAGAAAGGAGTAAAAGACTAATTGGACTTAGTCAAAGTACCTACTTGGATAAGGTGTTGAAAAGGTTCAACATGCAGAATTCCAAGAAAGGAGATTTACCGATCCAAAGCAACACCAAGCTGAGTAAGACTCAGAGTCCGAGTACGGAGGCAGAGATAATAACATTGTTGGTTGAAAACCCTATATGCTCACCTGGCTCCCAAGCCTGACCTACTCAGTTTTCTTTGTATCACAGGTATCAATGCGAAGACATATTTCACTGAGAGATTAAAGGAGATGTAAATCACTAGTGTAAATAAATGTATGTTCTGTTTATGCTTATGTGTCTGTATCGGAACATCACATCCCGAGATTTTGTTATATAATGAAAATACATTTCTTTAAAGAAATGCTTTGATAAATTCTTATCATATTTTATTTTGGGAACAAATTACGCAACTCTTTTAATCAAAGGATTACTCTGATTTTATAAAATAAAGCATAAACAAATTGGTCTTTTCTGGCCGTGAAATTGGGGATGTCACACAAAGTAGTCAAGTCCAAATAATGGCCCAAACCGACACCCATTCGTGCGGAACCCACTCTGACTGGGTACGTGGGGCGTACTCAGCTTTACGCGGGGGGTACTGGGCTTGTGACTTGTACGCTGCACGTACCAGCTTGTACCCCCAATGTACTCCGTTGTTAAGCCCCTTTCTTCTGTTAAGCACTTAATCACTTCATCCCTTGCCCGAACTCTCTAGTCTGACTTCTATGGGTGACTTTTCAAGTAAAGTTGGCAACTTTACTAACAGTAATGGCTTAATGGGACTCTAGAGCTCAAAAGAGCTTAATGGATGGTCTTAACTCATGCTTGGTCGCAAACACTTGACAAACAAAGCTTGCACCTTTATGAGAGAGAGGACCTTAGAATGTCCAGATCTACAAGTTTGAGTCCCCAAAACGACCCTAGCTCACAAAGACCAAGAAAAAGGCTAAGAATGGCCAAAACCAACTTAAAATAGGATCTATGAAATGGAAGGTCAAGATCAGAGCTTTTTACCTCCAATGGGTTGACAAATAGGAGAACCGTCTGGATCTACAAGCTCCCTTCCAAGATCAACACTTGAACACCACCTTCTTTTCTTGTGCACACACACACATACACACACACACACACTATAAGTCTTCTTTCAATCTCGAAGCTTCATCCAAGGTCGTTTAGGGTTTCATGGTCGTGAAAAGGGGTGGAGACTGATCTGAAATGACCCAGGGAAGGATATAATGAGGCTTTTATAGGGCACAAGTAGAGGAATTAGGGTTTTGGGCACTCTGAACGTACGTTGGGCGTACTTCTTGTACGATGGACGTACACCTCTCCACACCCGCGACAATGTAACTTAATACGCTGGGCGTACCTAGCTAAATACACGCATGCATTCCATGCATGCATAGGTTGCCTTTGTCACAAAACTCCATTAGGGACCAATTCTGCCAACAAATTCAAAGTATTATAACTTCTTAGTTCTAAGTCCGTTTTCGAAGAAGTTTATATCCATGGAAAGGTGGCGAGAAGCCCTACGCTCCGAGCATCACACCCAAGCCTTAAAACCTTCCGAATAAAGCTTAAAATGCATAAAAGGCCAAGATATCAATTTACAATCGTACCTTTGGCTCCCGAAGACACAATTGAAAACATGGTCACTTGAATCATAGCAACTACATTCGAGATGGGCTAAATCCTTCATTTCCCAAAGCTCTAATCCCCATGACAACAAATGATTGAGCCGAAGCACCAATCAATAAGGCAAATATGAAACCGGGTGTTACAGGGGAAGCCATTTGGAAGCCATGGTTCAAATCCCTCTCAAACTGGTCTATGGAATATAACTACAATGAAAGAATAACCTCTATAATTACTCAAGGGGTGCCACAACACGCTTGGTGTGAAGAAGCTTTCAACACCATCTCCAAGTTTTGGGGATTAGTGGTTATACCGGAAGAATGCCCAATAGACTCTGCAAACTTAACCTTTGGGCGTGTAGGCACTATCGCCTCACATCCTGGACTAATCAACTCCTCTATTTCTGTCTTTGTTGATGGAATTCGTTTTGAGATCAATGTTATGGAAGACATTTTTGAGTCTATAAAGCTCAACCCTGTGCTGGCATTTAATGATTTCCATCACTCCAATGGGAATTGGTGGGCCGATGGAGGACGTGAAGACGACTATGCAACATAGTCGGAGGGATGTCTGAGTTTGTCGGTCTCATCTCTGGCATGTTCCTACCGGATTCAAGAATGGGAATATGAGGAGACGCGAGCATGCGAGATGATTCCAATTCCCGAGGAGCAGCACAACAACGACCAATTCAACGGACAAAATAATGGAGACGAACCATCTCGTGTAATACTAAGTGGTAATTTGTCCCCCCGATCTAGTAATAGATTGGGCTTTGGGTGGTATAACTCTGTTAATGGTCACCGCAGGCCCAGCAAGTCACTAGAACTTAACTATGATCCTTGCAACTCTATTTCCATTCTGGCGCAAAACCAAATATCTCCTCCTATAGAGTTATCCCCAACCTCTTTGAGAACACCAACTGCCCCAGTTGGATGTCAACCCCAAGAATCACCGATGCCTCATAAGAACAGAGATACCCCCCTCAGCTGATACAAGAAGAATCTGATTCTACATCCATGGAGGAGCTCAAGACAATGGAAGTGGGGGGAAGAGTGGGTTTCAGGGTTAAGGACTATGCAAATCAGCTTTAACCCCCAATGAAAAAGCGTGGTGTGGTGATCCTGCATCAATGAATATCTTCTCTAATAATATATGTGGTGTTCGGTGTGAAGTCAAAAGGAACTGGGTCAAAGAGTCTAGAATCCAAAATCGTTATTTTTTGGTTGGGCCTCAAGAAACGAAATCCCTTGAAGTCAAAGGTCGCATGGATAGATAACTATGGGAAACTTCGAACTTCTAGTGTGATGTGGTCGATCCTGTTAGGGTATCTAGTGGAATCGTGTCCCTATGGGGCCTTACATTTTTTGATATCTCTGAATCAATTAAGGGTGAAAGGTTTCTAGCTATAAAAGGTGTGTGGCACAGCCTAAGGAAGATATGTTGCTTCGTAAACGTATATGCCCCTCAAGAACCGGCTAAGAAAAAGATGTTGTGGAATAACCTCCAAAGTCTCGTAAGCTCTGATTGAGAATGTCACTGGTTTGTATTTGGAGACTTTAATGTTGGTAGACTCCCAGAAGAACGGATTGGCTCCACTTTCTGCCCCAATAATGCCTATCATTTTAACAAGTTCATTCACTTGGCGGGGCTAATTGAGATCAAAATGGGTGTGCGCCGGTTTACCTACATGAATCCATTTGGTAAAAAACACAGCAAGCTGGATAGATACCTAGTATCTGCAAATGTTCTCGACTCGTGGCCTCTCTTAAATGTGACAACGTTGCCCAGGGTACACTCAGATCATTGTGCCATAATCTTATCTTCTAGTATTCTAGATTTTGGCCCATACCCCTTCTGCTTCTTTAATTCTTGGATGGTTGATCCAGGATTTGATAGCATTGTGAAACAGGGATGGGTAGTCCGCTCTGATCCTGGATGTCGACTCCATATATCCCCTTTATCCATCAATATAGGAAAAATTATAAACCTAATGGAACAAATTAAAAGATGGCGAATGGAAATATTGGAGATGAGAAGAAAGGAGGTGACTAATCTAACTAACCTTATCGATGCCATTGATCTCCATGTAGAGTCGCATCCGATTGATGATGAGTTACTACAGCAAAGACAGAATGCCCACCAAAAAATTCTGATTGCTGAATCTTCTAGAGTTGCAGACCTAAAACAAAAATATAGAGTAAAATGGGCGTTAGAGGGGGGACGAGAAAAGTGGGGTTTTCCACAGAATTATAAACATGCATTATAGGGCGAAACGAATAAATGGCCTCAAGGTGAATGGTTTTTGGATCAATGATCCAACAACGATAAAACAAGTAGTTTTCAACCATTTTCGGGAGAGATACTCGGAGCCTATGAAGTCGAGACGAAGGTTTATCAACACTAATTTAAAAAAACTAACTCCGTAGATGGCTTCGTTCCTGGAGCAACCGTTTTCCTTGGATGAAATAAAACCGGCTATTTGGGCATCTAGCTCGGACAAAGCTCCTGGCATGGACGGTTTCTCCTTTGCGTTCCTTAAGAAACACTAGGACAATGTTGGCAGTGATCTCCACTTCGCTGTAAAATATTTTGAAATGACTGGCTGCATTGATAAGGGCTGCAACTCTTCTTTCATTACCATGGTCTCCAAAATACAGGACCCCAATACCATTGGTGATTTTAGCCCCATTAGTTTAATCAGATGCTTGTATAAACCCATAGCGAAGATTCTAGTTGAAAGGTTAAAAAAGGTAGTCCACCTAGTGGTGAGCCCGAACCAGACAACCTTCATAAAAGATCGATATATTCTCGACGGCCCCCTCATCCTTAATGAAGTGATCTCATGGTTAAAAAAGAGTAAAAAGAAAGCGTTTGCTTTCAAGGGCGATTTTGAAAAGGCTTTCGATAGCCTTAGTTGGGGATATCTCGATTCGATCCTTGAACAGATGAATTTTGGTACTAAATGGCGGTCATGGATTCACGGGTGCCTCTCCTCAGCTAGGATCGTAGTTCCGATCAATGGAGCTGCTACCGTATAGTTTAATATGGAGCATGGAATCAGGTAGGGTAATCCCCTGTCGCCCTTTCTATTATTCATTGTAGTGGAGGGGCTACATATTGCTATGGAAGAAGGAAAAGAAATAGGAATCTTTGAAGGAATAAAACTTTCATGCTAGGGACCAATCGTGTCTCATCTCGAGTATGTGGATGATGCAATCTTCTTAGGCTCATGGTTGATTGAAAATGCTAAAAATCTAATTTGTATCCTGCGTTGCTTTGAATTGGCATCCGGTCTCAAAATTAACATGCTAAAAAGTAAAATATATGGTTTCGATGTTCAAGGATGTGAAATGGAGTTGGTGGCCTGATGTTTAAACTGCTCCATTGGTACCCTACCCTTTATCTATCTTGGTCTCCCAATGGATGCGTCCATGGCTAGAGCTGTACATTGGAATCCCCCGATCGACAAAGTCTAGGAAAAGTTATCAAAATGGAAGTTTTCCACATTGTCATTCGGGGGTCATCTAACACTATGTAAAGCAGTCCTAGGTAGCCTAGGATCTTTCTACTTCTCCATGTTTAAAGCTCCCATTAAAGTGATTAAAACGCTTGAGAAGAAGGAAATGAGGTTCTTTTGGGGTGGTGATATGGAAAAAAGAAAGGTCACATGGATTGCATGGGATAAAACCTCTGCATCTAAAGAAAGTGGTGGGCTAGGTATTGGCAGCTTGAAAGCCTAAAATATTGTAATGTTGGGGAAGTGGTGGTGGCGTTTCAAGGCAAATCCGAATAGTGCATGGGCTGTAGTAATAAAGTCAATCTATAGGGATGATGGTGGATTTAATAGACCTTCAGTGGCTCGAAGGAAAAGTGGATGTTGGGGTGTAATTGCCAGCCTCCCTAAAACTCTGAAAAGGATAATGTTCCCTTTGTAATCCATTTCCATCTGGTAAACAATGTTAATGTTCCTAGATCAATTAAGTGGAGCTGGGATCTAGAGCCATCTGGGACATACACGGTAGCATCTTTGAGAAATTATATTGATATCACCACCCTCCCTTGTTCTAATGAGAAGTGGCAGTGGAATCCACCAATCCCTGGGAAATTAAATATACCAGCTTG